CAGAGGTGTACATGATACAGCAGAGGTCGTCGCGGGATGGGGGTACCGGGTCAACGGGGTTTCTTCGCCCAGTTTTCGGAGGTCTTCATAGGTCATGATGTTGATGTGGCCAAAGTCCTCCTTGAGCGCATCGATATGTTCCTGTTTGGGTTCCGAGTTGGTGTCGTAGATGACATTCTTGACATCCTTTGCATCCTTGAGGACTTTTCGTAGCAGTGGGAGCAGGGTAGGGTCTAGAAAAATGGACTCGCTGCGAGTCTGCTGGAGGGAGTGTCGAACACCTTCTTCGCCGAGGGAATCGTACGCAGTCACAATGGTGATGGACTGAGATGCGGCGCCTGGAAGATGTTAGAAGCTATCTTTGCAGCTATATAATGTCACCGGCTATAGCCAAGCTTACCGTGAGAAAGACACAGCCAGTGAGCGCTAGTTAGAACGTTAGCCCAGGAAGATCTCCCTAATTGAATTAAATGAGAAACAATATGAGGGGAGAGAACCGACCTGGTAGAGCTGAAGAGATGGAGTCTGCTGCCGGTCTGATGGCCGAGCTTCCTGAGGCCGGCACCCAGCTGCAAAGCCTGCTGCTCGTACTCCGTGAAGGTCAGGTAGCTGTAGCCGCTGAGCTCAAAGTAGGTCCATTCCTTGTCGACCTCCTGCTCGACGCCCTCGATGAGCCGCTTGACCTTCTTGTTTTCAACGTGCGTCTTGACGACCCTGCGCGAGCCGACGGCCTTGGAGTTCCCGTACGTCTTTGCGCTCCATCTGAGGTTGTCGTAAGTGGTAGCAATCTCTGGGTTGGGCGTCTTGAGAAGCTCGTCTTTGGCCGAGGGGTGACGCCGCGGAATGGTCTCTCCTTCGACGGGCTCGTAGCCGGCTGCCTCGACGGTGAAGGGACCCTTTTTCAAGACGCGAGGGTAGAAGACCGTGTCTTTCGACATGCTGGGCTGGGCTAGAAGCAGAGAGGGCGAGAAAAAGAAGGAAGGGCTCTCGGGGGCAGCTCGCGTGGATTGATGGAGATCTGGTTGGTGTGCGAGGCGGGTTGTTTGG